CAGTTCACACGAACCTAAGTTGACGAAGCTGCCTTCCAAGGCTTGCCGGCGTGCGACTGCGCCTTTTCAAACTGGCCTGCCGCTTTCGCTACCGGCCCAGGCCTGAAACCAAGTTCGCTTACCGCGCGTATTGGTAGGAGCACTCCTTATGTTCGTGTGAACTGGTGGTGGTTTTGATAACAGCTGTATTGGGGGCAACTTTCAGTCCAGATACCGCGATAATGACCCTGCATTCTGTTCGGCGGAAGACGATAAGGTTGCAAGAACTTGATCTGCGGTGGGGGACAGGAGGAAGGAACAAAACATCAGAGTGTGTCTGGACTGAAATTTGGAATTTCTGAAATGCCCTCGCAAGGTATGGCTGGTCGACGACTGGACTGCAATCAGAACAACCCAAAGCAGTTTCTGAATTGAATTCATTGTGAGTAAGTCAAGAGAGAGATGATGAGGGCGAGGGAGAGGGAGAGATTATTTACCAGAAATGGAAATAGATCTAGGCTACCAGGCGGGCCACCCGGGTCACCCTTTTTTCTCGTGCGGCCTGGCCGTGCAAGGACCAGGAAAGGTCCCAGCCCCCCAAAAAAAGAGAAAGTTGAAAAACCAAAAAAAAAAAAAACAATGTTATACAGGAAAAATAAACTGAACAACTTTTGCCTCAGGCTCACATTGAAATTCTTTGTCAAATTAAAAAATAAAATAATAATAAAAAAAAATTAATATTTTTTTGCCCTGGCCGGGCAAGTGACCCCAGGCCACTCTGGTAGCCTAGAAATAGATTTTAAACCACCAGTTCACGGACCCCTACTATTCACCAAAACGCAGTGCACTGCGACAGTGGCAAAGATGAACGGTCATCCGGCACGGCGCAGGGTCGGAGGGAAAAGGCTGGTCTGGTGGGCCCAAAAAGAATGGACTGAAAACGAAATCGGGAGGGGAAAAAAAAAATAAAAAATAAAAAAGAGAACAAATGAGAAACTGGGCTTGACTGCAGTATTTACTCAGACGTCCTGCCTTGCTGGCAGGGCACTAATCTTAGAAAGAAACAAAAGGAAAACGACGACTGAGTTGGATGTAATACCCATCCGATACCAAAAAAAAAAAAAAAAAAAAAAAAAAAAAAAACCATCCGATACATTCTGGAACGCAGTAGTGTGAGTATACCCTGAGTGAGGCTTTACTTCAGTTTAGAAAAAACTCCAAACCCTTTTGGAAAGAAACTGACAATCCTGAGTATGCCCTGAGTGCACCCTCTTGAAAAATGGCCTGAGTTCCTAAGATTGCATTTACTTGAGGATTTGAACTGATGACCTGTCTATCAACATATAGAGGTGCATATCCAGGCGAATAGAGAAAGACACGCCCAGCCCAATAATTGTTATTTTCTTTCCAAAAGGTAATACCTCCCAACATTACTGTATCCATCAGGATTTGAAGTTTGAACGCATTACTTGTTTATCAACAGATGGATGTGTGTACCATTCAGCCAACAAAATGGTGCCCAGTTAATTGGATGTTAGTGACAGCCAACAGCCGAAGGAAGCTCCATTGATAGGTGAGTTGGAGGAACACGTCGTCAGAGAGAGAGAGAGAGAGAGAGAGAGAGAGAGAGAGAGAGAGAGAGAGAGAGAGAGAGGAAAACGAGTCAGAAACAAAAACAGTCAAACACGAGCAAAACACGAAAGCCAAAAACTAGTCAAAGAATGAAAGCCAAAATCGAAAGCCAAAAACAAAAGCCAAAAACGAAAGCCGAAAACGAAAGCAAAAAACGAAAGCAAAAAACCAGTCAACCCAGCAAAAAACGAGCCAAACATGAGCCAGGAAAAAGAGCCATAAATGAGACAAAAATGAGACAAGAACGACAGAAACGCAAGTACATTTGTGCTGGCGATGGATTGTGAACTTGAAGGATACCACCAAAGCAAGATGGTGATGGTGATGGAGAGCGTTGAGAAACAAAAGCTGAGAGCTGAAAGCTGAAATGAATGTCGTTCCCTTGTTGAGGAGGAGAGAGCACGCTTGGGCGTATTCGCCTTTCCAAGGAAGGAGGTACTCTCCATGGAACTTCTCTTTCGTAAGTATAGGCCGAGTGTTGCTACCCTAGGGAAACAGGAATCCGGTGGCCCCTAGTATAGGACAAAAAGCATACTCACAATAGGACCATTTTGGACTGAATATGGCCATCATTAGGGCCTGATGCAACGAACTTACTGCCACAAAAAGACCACACGGGATGCATTAGGGGCATGGGAAATTGAGAATCACTTACGAGGGCTTTTCCGACTGGGCTCTGGGCATGATTGCAGTCCAGATGCATCAAGGTGTGGCTGTAAGTACAGTCAGATACGTTTAGGGAATCCTTAATTCATCACTTTAAGCTTTACAAGTTTACACGGAGGGTGTGTCTGTACC